ATCAGTATTTATTCGGCGTGTTATTGTGTCTTAATTATTAAAGTTAGTTCAAGTGCGTTTTTGTAACCAATAAGAAGTAAGTTCCCTTGCAGAAGTAACTAATGCTAAACTTACTTTTTTTCCTACCAAGGTGTTTTTATTTGTCTACACTTGCCTTGGATGAATATTAAAATATTAAAATTACCTCGATTTTAAAGTATAATTATTAAATAATAAATTTAAAATTTTCTATAATGAAATACATCATTGCAATTCCATCTCACTAACATAAGAACTTAAAAATAATTTACTTGTATTTGAATGTGATATCATTTGTATTTTTCAATAATTAGACTAATATTTTATTTCTTAACAAATTTATTATCAATATTCACTCATTTCTGTCGTTTTTCGTGCCAAAATCGGTAAAATAACGGATGTCGTAAAAATATGACGCGCGCGCGCTCATGTAAAATTGCCAAGAGCGCGTGCTGGAAGGTTTTTGAATTTTGTTTCAACTCCTTTTTTTTCCAGAAAAATATGTTAACGGTTTGTTGACGGGTGAGTGTGTTTACTTAACTTGAGGAACTGAAAAATGTAAAAACAATCAAATACAAAAACTTCAATAGAAAATACCATATTTACATCAACAGAAGTATTTTACGTAAGTGATATATGCAACTGGATGCACAATATATCATGGCATTTTAAAATCATAACCTTTCAGGTCTTTTCTTTTTCTTATACATATTCTTCAAACGATGACATAAGAGTAAGGTACGTAATATAAGGTATTTTTTAAAGGAAGGGATAGATTATTTTACATACAAAAAAAAAAAAAAAAAAAGATGGTAAAAGAAGTTTTGTGTTTAAGAATTTAAAAACTCGCTGGGCGCGTATTCCAGAGGTCCCCGTTTGCGTAATGGCAAACCGCACATTGAGTTGAACAGTGTTAAGCGAATTTCGCTTACTGCGCATGCTTGATGCTGTACCTTTGGCGCGGGAAGAAATATTGGCGACTAAAAGCAACCCTACGCTAGCTCATTCGTGATCTCCATGGCTGTCGAGTGTGGTCGAGTGATGTGTACAACTGCAATGTTGTGGAACTTTGTTTATTAGTTATTTTAACGTTCATACCGATTGCACTTGCTTATTTTTCTAATATATGTTTCATTTTAATTTGTCTAACAGTGCATTTAATAATTGTTACCATATATTGTGCTTAATAATTCGTTATTTTAGATGTAATTTGTTTACATGTTGTAATTCTCAGTAATGTAAACTGGATTTTCCCGCTTAGTTTGTTAACGTATATTCGCGCTTTTATTTCTTATTTAAAAGAATTAAATAAATAAACAGCATTAAGGAATTGTAAAATTTCTTCAATGTTATTTGCAAACACTTGCTATATTTTTTACGTATGTCCGTGTTTCTTTGCGTATGTACGAATGTAACGTATGGTAAATTCTGAATTGTTTTTATTCCTTAAAAGTGTAAATTTTCAACTAATATATCCTAAATTTCAGTCTTTTTCTGAGCGAAAATTCGTACAGTTCCAAAGTGAAAGTGCAGAATTTCATAAGTATAACATCTTACATTTTGAATGCAAACACTGCTTCACATTATTTCGTAATAATTATTTACATCTCCTCCATCTATGCCTGTATCAATTTTTTCATCGGGTTATTTATCAATAATTCCTGGTAGAATTAGAAATATATTATTAGAAAAGGTTTTTCCTGTATCATCTGCAAGGAACAGAAATTTAAAGCGATGAATTATTGGAATGAATTTTAGCCAGCATTTGAAGTTATTTAGATTTCTGTTGCATTAAAAATTATTTAAAAGCTGCATAGAAATATTATTTTGAAATGCAAACATTTTAAGTGCCAAAATTAAAAGTATTTAAAAGGTAGCTATTGTCATTGATGATAGATTAATTGACTTGTCAAGGGAAACAAACCAAGACTTCAGTACATAAACAATATATTTTTTATTCTGGGGGGGGGTGAACATTGTTATTAATGGTGATATAATCAAATAAATAACAAAGAATCTGCAAGTGAAACGTATTTATTTTACCATTTCTTTGAATTTAGATATTTTTCCGAATATTCCAAGCATTTAAAAGAAATATATTTTACATATTTTGTAACTGTGAATGTATTCGTAGTTCCGGAAGTTCTGAATATCTGCAGAAACACATATTTCGGTCTATGATTTAGCTGGCTTAGTAAGTTAAGAAATAAATTTTTCTTTAATATTAACAAATGATTTTATATTAATAAGAAATTGGTACATTTGTAATTCCCCCAAAAATTCTTTAAGACTGGCAAATACGTACATAAATTTGATTCCCCCCCAGTATGTGTGACGAGTACGTTCCATTAGACTTCGTGATTATTTTGTAACAGCTCTACTTATTGCCAAAATTGGGTCTTTATGCATATATATATATATAATGCATACAACATACATGCAAAGTTATGATAGCTGTTAATATATCATAATTGACTAAACATTACGAAGACTGTTTCTCTTTCAAGACATGTACTTTCAAATGTTTTCATAACAACTTCTGTATTTATTTAGGAAAAAATTCTACTGATAAAATACTACACACACAGAAATATTTTTAAAATGGTGTTTAAGAATGCTGTTGATTTTTCAGAGAGACACAGTAACAATTTAACTGGTTTATAACCTTAACAGAGCAGAGATGTCAAACAGAAAAAAGAAATGCCATTAGAAATGCTCAAATGCCAAATTAAAATATTTGATCATAAAACAAAAAACAAATGTAATTACAGTTAACTTATTTTCGAACTTGAAGATTGATTATCAAGTATAAGTTAATGTTTAATAAAAGAATTTCATGAAAACAACCTAAATTTGAAGTACAATGAAAATAGTAGATTTTATTTTACCAAAATAGCTTAGTACAATGATTTTGTCAATGTATTCTTTATGTTTATTTATGGGAAATTAACAGAATGTAACCTATGTTATGAATATAAAGGTAATTTTTATTTTTAACTCTCGCTAATTAAATATAAAACATTTACAAAAGTTTGAATATTTGGTGTAAAATTCGATTTTTCATTATTAAGATTAAATGCCTTTTCCACCGATTACTTTTCTTGATTTAATAAATCTCCTTTTGGTCTTTCTTACACCTTATACGAGTTTCACCCACTTTTGTAATGTATACTGTGTGAGAACTCTGGAAAACTTAAGCGACTTCTCGTTATGTTTTGGAAATTACAACAGAGGTTTGGAATAGGTGTAAAAAAAAAAACCTTTTATAGAACTCGGACAAATTAATTAACAGAGTGCACAGCTTGTTCATACAGAATCAGCCAGCATTTATGGCGTAAATCAAAAGTAACGAAAAATGTAATTCACTACTCACAAATTTGAATACACTCAAAAAATTAGCATTCTGGCAGGAAAATGGAAAGGAAGAAGAGAAAAGCTAATTATCATAAAATAGCTGGTTAATAAAAATAAATGAGAACTCTACAACCTCAATTCACTATTTTAATTTAGCCATTTTCATTTTTATGCAGCCTTTATATCGAAGTATGCATTTGTTTTGGTGTCAATAAACTTAATTCTTTCATTTTTTACCCGATTACATAACATCACATGCAACAGCTGTAAATATGAAAAACACATGCATATATCCAGCAGCATGTTAATTTCTTTTGAATATATGGTGTCTGTCATCTACAAAAGAAAACTGTAAATTCAAAATATAAGATGTGAACATAGGTCTCCTGTTGGATAATATAAGAAAGTCACACTTTCTGGTATTACTATTATTTTTTATTATTTGTAGGACCTAAGGTCCTACAAATAATAAAAAAAATAATAATTAAAAATTAAAACATTGTGTAGAGAGTAAAAAGCATAACGCAGAAACTTGTTGAAAAATTAACATGTATATCACTTTGCCCGAGTGTGTTATGTTATGTCAGAATCCCATTCTGTATAATAATATATGCATTTGACATTATTAGGTATTGCTAATTAAATTAACATTTAAATACTTCAATGAAATATTAAGAAAATGAGAAAAATTATGAATACTACTTACTATATGATATGAATTTTTTTTTTTAAGTGAGCTAATTAATAAACAAAGAGCAAAATGTATAGTTCCATATTCCTTACGCTGAAGTCTACTTCATGCTTATTATATCATCATTTGTTATGAGGGCAGAACATTTGTGGTCTTCACCTTGCAAAATCATGAGGAACATTTTAATAATATAGGAAAATTTCATATAATGGCTAGTAGCTGAACTGAATGAAATGAGTATTTTAAATTCACTAGAAATTTAGGGTCGTGTAATGTTTAAATCAATTCAAGTTTTGGAAGAAAAACTATTTAAAATGTCTTCTTTTTTGGGGGTGGGTTGCTTTAACTGCTTTTGGGCTACAGATTTCAGCCATATAATCTCATAAATAGGATTTAAAGATTAATTTTTTAACCCAGGCAGATCATATTTCCTCATATGAAATTATTGTTCAAAATTTATTCACTGCCTTACTTATTCATTACACACAATATATTCATATACTAATTAATCATATATTAATACAATATTCAAATACTAATAATTAAATCCTTAAAAAATGTTCCTCTATTAAAAGGAAAAACATTTTAAAATGTCCAATTGAGCAGTATTTGTTTTACCTCAAAATATGTCACTATTGTATTATTTTTCAAATTCGTTATTAATACATGAATTAAGTAAACTCAAGTATTATTTAGAATCGAGGATTAGTGATATGGGATGTTTAGAATGTTCAGGGTTTTATGGAAAAGTACTACTGAATGGTAAAAAGGTTTATTAAAATTCAAATACAGTAATTCAATGATGTAATATACACATATAATTAATATGCACAACAAACGATTATTGTATGAAATGCATGACAGAGCAAGAATGAAAACATACATGAATTTACAATAACATAAGTTGCAAAATAAACAGAATACAGGAAAACTCGCATAAATAAATTTACAATAATATGAAACAATTAAGTGTTATGAGTAATAATATTAGTCAGATTTTTCTTTATAGTTAAATCTTCATTTTCATTGCTCTTTTAATATCTTGTGTTGGTGGTTGGCCTGCACGCATTCTTTAAGCGATAATCTCTGTGGCACTTCATCAAACCCTAAATTGTTGAAACAAACATTACAAATGCTAACTTGTAATGACATTAATACATGCATCATAACAAATACACAATGAATATTAAGAAAATGTTAATGTACCAATATTTCTTGTTTCAGTAGTATCAATTCTTGAAATATCATAAAAGAGGAATTAGACATTAGACATTTTTGATTAAACATTCAATTATACATCTATCAATTTCAGTGTTATAGTGTGGCACCAGGGTAACTATGCGAGACACACTAATCCCCTCGAAGATTTCTGATTTAGATTTCTGATTTACAAAATAATTTTGGCAGTAACTTGTAAAGGCTAAAAAAATATTATCAAAAAGATACAATTCTTAAGTAATTACGTATATTTTGCAGAAATACTTCGGAACTGTTTGAGCTGGTATTCGTGAGAATCCTTGAGTAATTTTTTGAATGCAGAATAGTTTAACTGAGAAAAACAACAGAATGCAGCCAAATGATATCCCTAAGTATTATTTCATTTCACTTTCTAATGCATGTATAATAGCATTAATTAAGAATTTAATAAAAACATTAAAAATAATTACGTTGAAGCAAGATCTCTAAAATTTCAAAATTGCATATAATTAAAATCTAGTTTAATATCTGCAATGCATTTTTAACTGATCATATTTTCATAAATTTAACTTTACAATCTAAGATTAATTACAATAAAGCATACTTTATGACAAAAGAATATGAACTTCCAGATAATGTGTATAATTTAGTCTGAGATTAAAAACTATACTAAGGAACATTCTGGAAAACCACATTTGATACGTTTTAAACTTTTAAACTATTTTACTTTCCTAGATAATCTCATGAAAATTATTAAATATTCATCAATCTTTTGATCGTCAGTTTCTGTTACCTGCCAGTGAGGTAGAATGTATTCACCAAGACACAAAGAATATGTATTACAACATGTAAAATATAGAAAATACAGTGGCTTTGCTCTGCGCGAGCATGCAACCTATAATTAACTTACTGCAGTTTCAGGATCTTATCCCTAGACCAGTACTTTCGAGAACATTCTGGCATGTTATATAACCGCTAGTACACACATACTGAATACGTGCCATTTTTCGTCAGACTGCTTTCTTCTACCGCTGCTACAAGACTCCCAGCTTGTTCCCATTTCCTTTGTTTTTTTTTTGTTAAAGCAGATATGACGTAAAGTCTAAATTTAATCTTACTTAGTTTAAATCAATATTGAATATATAATTTTGAGAATTTCATCTAAAGGCAAAATGATCTGCTGGGAGAATTGAATAAAGATGTGGGATCTAAAAAAAGCTAAATCCTTCTTTGTCGTCATTTTGCAACCTTCTATCCAGCCATAACAATGCCTGGCCTATGATGTAGTTATATTGTCAAGCTTTGGTCATTCCTGTGCCTGCCAAAATATTACATATACACGTATGAAAATTATTAATATAAGCTACATAATGTAATATTAATAATTTTCATACGTGTATAATTTTCTAATGATTGTTTTGTCACAGTAATTAGAATAAAAGTCTGAAATATTGCCATGTCTTGCAAAATATCAACTAAATCTGTACACAAGATACGAAATATCAACTAAATCTATACACAAGAATTTTCCATTAAAAATTTCTGTGCAGACCTGATAATCATTATATATACTGACTGCTCTTTGTATAATGTACTGAACTGTAAAGCTCCAGGTATATACAAAACATTTCAAGACACTCGATATTTATTCTGTTGCAGAAGCAAACTGTTTATTTTCAATATATATAATAATAAGCAAAGAGATGATACGTGACAAATCTTTCAGTTCTATAATTTTTATATCTAATATTCAGTGCACTATTATGCTAATAAGCAATCTTTATTCTCAAATCCTTGCATTATATGTTGGTGATTATTATGGGTGGTCTATTATTCATCTGTTTTCTTATCCGTCATGGCGACTACACTAAGTCTGTTAATCAAAGCTCAAATGTATGCCTGTCTCCTGTAATTTTAAAGAAATATTTGAAGGAAAGATAGGTTAAATTTAAATTACATAATAATTATACATACTTTGCCTGTGTGTTTACAGTCAGACATAATATTCAACAACTAATATGCTTGAAAATGCCCAAGTGGGATTTGAATGGCTTCAATAACATATACTGGAAAATTAAATAAAAGTATTATAAAAATATTGCGCCCATTTGGATGGCTTAAAAATAATAGTTGTGTAATAAAAGAACATTTTAGGTATGATATTAACTAATTTTTTTTTTTTTTTTTTTTTTTATCTCTTTGACCTTTAAAATGAAGAGGTAATGTTTCTAGTTGATATTATGTGAAAACCTGAAAAAGCAAACAAAAAACTACACTAAATCTAAAAAAAATGTTTCCAAAGTTCACACATCTGCAAGAAACTAATAAGGTCAACAATGCCTGATTAACTGAATTTGTTGGCAGATGATGATTCAAATCTGAATATAGAAGACATGTAAACAGTATAAAAGCATATCAAATTTATATCAGTGTACGAGTCATCATATGTGTGAATGAGTGCGTACTATAAATTAAGTACAAGTCTTACTCTGAACTACTTAGTATGCTTATACACTAATTTTTGCATTTTCTTAATTCATATTTTTAATTAGCATTATTACAAAATTAAATAATATCTGTAATAATTGTAACTGAAACAATTGTATTTGAAATTTCACCTCTTTCATAATAACCACAATTGCCTAGTACATATTCATTAGCAAAGCATACAATTAAGTGCTTCACAGTATTATTAACAGTAAGGATGCTATCACACGTCAGTTTGTTTCGGAAGAACAACTGTTTGGAACAATTTTTCTGCTTTGTCACAACAGCCAATTATCATAGATCACTTTGGGGTTAACATGGGAAACTGGTTCCCCATTACAAACAAGCTGATAGCTGATTGATTGAAAACGAACAATTTGCAATTTTTTTAGAAAGGAAGGAAAAAGTCGCATGTCTTTCTTTCAATAGTAAACCAGGCAGAAAAATTGTCCGAAACAAGTTGTTCATGTGAAACAAATGCCGTGTGATAAGGGTCTCAGACATCATTACTTACATCTAACATTTCACTTCCAGAAACAAGGGTCAAAATTTTTCAGCTGCCATTCACTGTGCCAATGCCTGAAATTAAAAAAAAAATCATTTTATAAAAATCTTTAAAAGGATGATTCAAGTATTGAAAAATCTTAGATCATAACTTGGTCATACATACACAAAATATACCAATAAAATAATATGTTGTTCAGTGCTGAATGAATTATTTAACAATAGGAGAGGGTCAATGGTTGTGAAATCACATCATAATAATAAGAGAATTTATAAAAAAAAATGAAATAAGGGGTTTTATTTTTATTTTAAATTTTATTATTTAGTTAAGAATAATTATCCTACTAACTTTAATTCATATATTCAACTCTGAAACACACTTTCTACAACTTATCTTTGGCTACTATAGTCTGTGTAGTCAGCTTGACAGATACAGTCAGCAAATGATGATTGACAGTCATAATTGTTATCTTGTCTTCCTGGTACATGTGCAGTACACGTACATGTTTTCCTACAACTTGCATGATTGCATACATACTTTTTCACAGCAGAAATATACAATTTTATGAAGAACTAATTTGCAATAATATATAGCATACATGAAAACAATCCAAGCATACTTTATATTAAAGTGCAATGTTATGTAATCATTGATGAAAATTACATACATCAAAATATACTTTATTGTTGACTTTACTATTACTTTAGGATTATTAAAAATCATCATCAATTCCTACATGCTGTACAATCATCTGCCTTTTAAAAATAGAACTTGTTACATTTAATATTTCAACAGGTTTTTCTATTCAATAGATATTTGATAATATAAGGAGTTAAGTAAATTTGAACTAATTAATATTTTATTTTTACCAATTCTTTACAGTTATACCACAATTCATTACATTACGAGTTCATTACATTATTTTTATATTATTAAACTTCAACCAAAACATTTCAGCACATTTTGAGATAAAAGACTCAAGTACCTTGCATCAGTTTTAGCTGTAATAAAATTACGCTAATACTAATAACTTTCTTCTTGAAGTTTCTCGAAAATGATGTTTCTTTTCGAAAAAATTAAAACAGTAAGGAAACAAATTTCTTCTTAAAACATCTTTCTTAATGCTACATTATATAGAAATTTAGGAAATGTTAAAAAAAATGTTAATGAACTGTATATGTGTTAAAATACAATATATCACATATTGCACATATAACATATCAAATTTACTGAAATGGGAAAATATATACATACCTGAAAGCAATCTTGCAATAGCATTTGGTTTGAAGCTCGTGCTATCCACTGGAGCATCTGCATTTACGCTGATTTCCTTTACCCATTTTTTGCACTCTTCAATCGAATTTAAACTTGATCGTATCGTTCAACTTTCCAGTTGTTGGAGTAGTACAGGAAAACAATCTAATTTTACACAGTAATTACATTGCACATATACTCTACGAAGACTTAAACGCCGGATTTGTTTACAATCAGATGGCGGTACATCTACCACATACCGTATTTATCCTCTTTTCAAATCGCGCCAACATAATAATTACGCCAAATTTGTTTCTGGGCATGCGCAGTGTGCGACATTCGTTTAACACTGTTCAACTCAATGTGCGGTTTGCCATTACGCTCCCCGTTTCGATTCCCGGCGAAGGTTTCCAATCTCTCTGCAATCCTAAATCTGCAACTTCATTTTAAGATTTTGGTCAAAAAGGATCAAAAAAAAAGTAAAACTTCTAACGACATAATTTTATAAAATTTAATGCCTTGTGCACAAATTCAAATTTGTTTTCATTAATGTTTTTTTTTTTTTTTAAACTGAATGTCGTAGTTACAGTAAGTTAATGTGTGATAAAAAATAAGCAAAAGCAAGACTGGATACCTTCTAGCACAATTTCAATTATATTTTAAGATTTAGTATTTAATATTATAAAATTGAATAACATTGTAGGTCAATGTCATTTATAGGTCTGACAAATAGAAGCTGATGTTTGATTGTGTTTGTCGAACAGTTAAAACAAGGAAAAAAATTGTAGATTAATAATATCTTTAACTGATTACAATTATAAACGTTCACAAACAAAAGTCTAAAACGTGAAAAATTAGTTTAAATAAAAATTAAATGTTTCTAACATCATGGTCTATCTTACGTAATTTACCAGTTTTCTGAAATACTATGTTTTCCAGGAAAAAAAAAAAAAAAAAAAAAAAAAAAAAAAAAAAAGAAAAAAAAAAAAAAAAAAAAAAAAAGAAAAAAAAAAAAAAAAAAAAAAAAAAAAAAAAAAAAAAAAAAAAAAAAAAAAAAAAAAAAAAACTGCTAATTCTGTAAACTGCTAATTTTATATAGTTTTGGATAAGTATTTATCGCAGAGAAATTATCTGATTTTGAAGCTACGTAAATATAGTATAAATCTGGACGAAATTCTTTAACTGATTTTAAAAATTAATTCAAAACTTGCTTAGAGTTTAAACTCATTTTTAGTTTTCTAGAAAATAAGAAGGCAGTTTGGGAAATGAAAAACTTCAAAGATAACCAAAATTGAATTGGATTTCTAACATATTTAATAGAATTTGTCTTCAGTATAATCAGAAAGGTGGACTACAGTTACACAAAAAAGTTTCAAACGTGCATCTATATCACATTTTGAGGAAAGGTACGTCGAAAATCGCCAAGTTAACATGGTCGGAATAAGGGTTGCTGAATGCTTAATATTGTTAATAGTCAATTAAATGAATGGCTGTTGCATTTTGAGCAGAGTATGTTATCTCATTGACGATAGATATTTGAAAATAAGAGTAGAAATATTCGTTTAATTAAATCAAAGAAGAAAAGTAGTTTGAAAGGCATATTATAAATGTTTTTCAGCCTTTCTAAAAGTAACATAAAAGACAGCAAAAGAGGAGTTGTAGATCCACTACGCATCTTTCCTTTACTTTACTTATCGAAGGATTTGAAACCATTGCATATTCGTTATGCAGTAAGCATTTCTTCAAGTAAAAATATCTGCCTTGAAAATAAACTTGAGTTGAAAAATTTAATCTTATAATTATATGAGGAAAAGGGTGAGGTACGTTAAACTTGGAGATAGTGTAAATCACAAAATTAACGCATTCAGATTTCTGACATGAATTTAATTTATTTGGAAAAATCAATGTTGAATATTCCTCAGTGAAATATATTAATTTTGTCCTTCAAGCATCATAATATTTGCTCACTCCAGTCACATTTAATGTGATCACCATCTACTTTCGACGGGAATGTGAGATAACCAATAATGAAAATCAGGTCACAGAACACTGCAGTGGAGCGTTTGTAAAGGGTGTCTGAGAGAATCAAGAAACATACTGTACTACCGTCTAATAGAGCATGATCTTTGGCTTTCGGTTCAAGGGTGGAAGCGTTTCCGAAACGGCTGAATTTGTAAGCTATTCTTGTGCCTCCATGGTAAAAGTATACCGTGCATGGGAAAATGGCACTATCCAAAATCAGTGACGTGACAAATGCGGTGCCTCACGGGCCATAGATGACACTGGTGAACGACGTCTTCGGAGATGCGTTCGGGAGAATAAACGTGTAAGAGTTGAGCATCTGACCGTCCAGATAAACCAAGGGGCTACCAACAGTGTCTCCTCAACGAGGGCTTAGCGAACATTGCTGATTATGGTCCTCAGTAGGAGATTGCCTGGTTAAAGCACCTATGCTGACAGCAGTTCATCAGCAACGAAAGCTGAAATTTGCACTCCAGTACCTCAACTGGATGTCCATTGAGTGGCGACAGGTGGCATTTTCCAATGAATAAACGTTTATGCTGTCGGACAGATAGATATTAGCGTATACGACGTGAAATGTCCGAAAGCAAGGACGAAAGGAGCTGTAGTTGTCACAGTGGATCAACAGAAATACGCAATTGTTCTTGCGGACCATGTCCATCCCTACATTCGAGTTGTTTTCCCTCAGAATGATGGCAACTACCAGCATGATAGTTTGAAGTGTCATACAGCTCGCAGTGTGCGTGCGTGGTTCCAAGAGCACCAGGATGCGTTTACCGTACTCCCCTGACCAGCAAACTCCCCGGACGTAAACCCAATTTGGAATCTGTAAGACCACCTGAATGGGATTGTTAGCGCCATGGGTCCTCATGCGCGTAACCTAGCGCAGCTGGCCATTGCACTGGATTCGGCATGCCTGAACCATTTCAGTGGACCTATTTTGAACCTCCAAGAACCTACTCTACCCTCTTCTTTCGCGTCTCTTCCTGCGAAAGGTGTTTGTCCTTGCTTTTTACAGGAGGTCACATTAACGTGACTAGACCGTGTAAATTGTTGAAAAATAGCTATATCTCTTTGAAATTTGATTCAAGAAATCTCCCTTTCTTCATAAATGTTTATCTATACCACCAGGACTGGATATTATAGTTTTAGTGTATTCTCTAGACACATCCCTGCTAAAAATGCCCCATAGAAACCATTAAAACTTTTTATGGGTACCCATAAGATTTTATAACTTTCTATTGACTTTTACTGGTCTCTGTGATTTTTTTCTTACTGGTTTCAAAATAACCCATATAAACCAGTAAAACTTTCTGCTGGTACTTATAGAATTTTTGTTGGTCTATACTGACTTTTACTGGTTTCTATTGATCTCTGTGGGTTTTTCATACTGGTATCAATTAATACCCATACAACCAACATCAATGTCAGAGCTTTCTACTGGTTTGTATTGGTTTATATTGAATTTTACTGGTTTTCTTACTGGTATCAATATAATAAAAAATTTGCTGTTGGTTTATATGGGTTTATGCTAACTTTCTATCTGACGTTAATAGCCTTCTTGTACACAATAAAATTAATAGAATGAAAATATGATCTCTTTAAGACCATCAGACCTGGAAATGCAGGTGGTCGTTTTAGAGAGAGTTTTTAATAAATATGCTTATTTATTTGATTTAAAAAAAATTGGGAAACAATAACAGTAATCATATACACCACACACAACGAGGTCTCTCTAAGGCGACCAGCCGCGAATAAAAATTCATCTTTGCAAGTGGTCACCTTAGAGAGGTGATACACAATATTAATATATACTCACGTTCTCAGAAATAAGTTTATCTTTTAGAGGTGGTCGTCTTAGGGAGGTTGCATCTACGAAATGAATCTCTCTAAGGCGACCAGCCACACTTGCAGAATTTTCTTTGTGAATGGTCGCCTAACAGAGGGAATGTTCAATACGAAAATATACTTATTTTTTAATGTTCAATACCAATTTTATGTTTCCTACTTATGTTTTCAGAAATACTGGTTTCTTTCAGAGGTCGTCATCTTAGATAGGTGGTTTTTGCTACGAATTGGTTCTCTGAATGCACACACATACGCACTTACATTTCAATATTACAAATAAACACCCGGTATCAATTAACATCTCTTTAACGCGAACAAGTTCATTCACAATCGGAAACTTTTCTCCCTGTTAACGCTGACGTGAGGAAAAAAAAATCCCCTCCCTCCCCCACTCTCAGAAGTTTCCCAAACAAGCAGTATGGTGCCGCTCTAGTTATTGTTGTGCGATGGTGGTGTTATTTTTCTTCGTGTTGTAGTAATGCACTATATAATTTACTATGATTTACTGTATTTAACAAATT